ATATATATATATAGACGAGGAAATTAAATTTCTAAGAAGGCCAGAACATTCCCAAGAACACACAGAACTACAGAGATAGACTAAAATGCAGGTTTTTATACAGAGCAGCAACCTTGTCACACCGTAATGCTTCTAGGACAGAAATGCCTTAGTCACACACATCTCTCCTCTGCTCAAAATCATTCCAAGGCTCCCCACTGCCTACACAAGAAATTCTAATCATCTTAGGGGCTAGAAATGAAGACCCTCAAGTCTCTTTTCTGAAACTGCCCTGCAAAGTATACTGAGCCTTCCACTCCCTATAGCCAGCTTTTTTCACAGAATCCTATGTGTAACATCTCATTGTTTCACCTAAACCTTCATACTCCACCTAGCCCTCAAGAAGTAGCCACCACTGAAGCTACTCTAGCTCTACTCACTTGTGTCATTCATCATATCGCCTTATTATTTGGTGTTTCAGAAACAAATTTTTTTTGTTTATTGTTGTTTTGCTATGTTGCCCAGGCTGACCTCTTGAGCTTGCTATCCTGCCTCAGCCTCCCAAGTGCTGGGATCACAGGTGTGTGCCACCACATCCAGCTTTAGAAACATACTTTGAGCCGGGTGTAGTGGCGCATGCCTGTAATCCCAGCACTTGGGAGGCTGAGGCAGGAGGATCGCTGAGTTCGAGACCAGCCTGGGCTACATATTGAGTTCCAGGTCAGTCTCAACTACATAGTGAGACCTTGTCTCAACCCTCCCCCTCAAAAAAAGAAATATACTTTGGTCTCTTTAAATGCGTTACTGATTTTACTACTCAAACTGATACCACAAGCTTAGGTGAATGAGAAATTTTAGGATTCTGTGAGTTTGTTTTCTAAAAACACACCAGAACCTATTGATTACTTAAATTTAAAGCATGTTTGACTAAATAAAATCCTAATGTATCCAAAGAGAACTCTATGACTCAGAAGGACAGCACAGCATCAGAGACTGGTTCCTACTTTCTACTCAGTTCCTATCCTTCTACTCAGTCTTCCAAGTAGCTGGGGTTACAGGTGTGCCCCCCCCCCCGCTGGCAGTACGTTTTCACAGAACCTACCTCTTTGCCCTTTGTGGCATCTCCTTCGGTCCATTCCACAGAAACGCAGGATCTCTCCAAATTTACAGTTCTTACACTGGCGCTATGAATTAAGCCTATAAAAAGACGAGAGTTGCCTGTGTCCTGAGAGCTTCCTGTTTATGATTCACCTCGCTTTTAGGATCCCACAGAGACTCTCAATGTGTTTACCTTGCAAGGGGCAGCTGATTTTTCCATCCTTCTTTCAAACAAGCAAACACTAAGACAAAGTCTTAAAATCGAGCCATACGGGATAGTTTCACTCCCCCGCCCACACACAACCATTCAAATGAGCGCCTGCAATGGGGTGCAGCTATGTTTGAGCAGAGGAGCCGCTACAGTAGGATAGTGTTCCTGAACTCGGCACTAAGGATCCGGACCCTTTGAATTTGCCTAACCCATTTCTGGAGGTCATGTCTGACCATTCTCTTAATGGCATGAGTGTTAGGCCTGCCAAGTTGCAGGGGTAATTTTGGGCCCGGCCATTTGTAAGCGCGACAGTAATCTCCGCCTCTCACCGCTGAAGGGTCCCCCTGGCATTAGGATACCGCCCCTCACCATTACTGCGTTGGATCTTGATGGAGAGACCGGGAAACAAGCGAGACTGAAGTGATGACTCCATGGGTACTCGGAGATCCTCGAGGAAGAAAAATACAAAATGCTAATAAACCACAACTCTGCTAACCCTGAGAAGCCTTAGCGCCGAGTAAACCGTCGCAGTTTAAATCCCGCGCGTCAGCGTTCCTGCAACGTCATCACGCTGCCGTGGATTTCGCTTCCGCCAGTCAGCGAAGCCCCACAGAGCCTTCTGGGATACGTAGTATCTGGGTCGTCCTCCGTCTCCGGGAACGCCCTCTCATTTGGCCACACCCCCAGCCCTGAGCCTGCTGGGAACTTCGCCAGGTTTGGGGGTTTGAGACTGTGTGTTTCTATATCTATACCAGGCCCGCCCTCTACTGTCGGCTTTCGGAAAAGCGACATTTCTATCTTGGAGGGTATTTGAGTGGGACTTTCCTAACTTCAGTTACCAGCGCGGTGACTTCGGAGGAGTTCGAAACTTGACTCTTGGTTTCCTTTTTTGCCCAATAGACGAGCGTGTTTCTTCACTGGAGGAAATGTATAGAAAGTATTTCAGGGCCGAGCGTGGTGGCCCAGGCCTGTAGTCCCAGCACTCAGAATCTCCGAGTTCGGAGCCAGCCTGGGTACATAGTGAGTTTAAGGCCAGCCTGAACATAGAGAGACCCTGTCTTGAAAAAAAAAAAAAAGGTGTTTCGAGGACATTGATTAATTTGTCTACTACGGATAAGACATGGTATAGGTTGGAGATAATAGTGAACAAGGCATAGTTCCTGAGCTTGACCTAACAGTTCTGTTATGAATATGGGATAAAAAGAAGTAAGTTACAAGTGCTGGGCGTGGTAGTGCACGCCTGTTGTCCCAGCACTCGGGAGACTGAGGCAGGAGGATTGCAAATTTGAGGCCAGCCTGGCTACATAGTGAGTTCTAGGCCAGCCGGAACAACATAGAAAGGTCCTGTCTCGGCTGGGCGTGGTGGCTCATGCCTATAATCCCAGCAGTTGGGAGGCTGAGGCAGGAGGATCGCTATGAGTTCGAGACCAGCCTGGACTGGACTACATAGCGAGTTCCAGGTCAGTCTCAACTACATAGTGAGACC